GTCTATGAACTATAATTGGCTTGCGCTTTTGGCATAATTCGATTGGGTTATGAAGCGTCACTGTTTACTCACCTTCCAACTTTCTATCTTGATTCCTGTTCCCAGTCGTCTTGTTATTATTAGTGATATTGTTAATTACTTTTTTCACCTAAAATTAACTTACAGGCTTCGCAATGTGCATTGTTTTCGTAAATTGAGAGATACTTTTTTTGGCACCGGTAGTGTGTGCATAGAGATTTAAAAACGTATGTACTCTCAATGGCTGTAATCTACTATGCCCTTCACTATCTAAAGAGAATACAGCACTAATTTTATTATAGCTGGGTGCAAAATATGTTTATTTTAATTTAAACTCTTAAGCAAGCCGAGCTTCAATTTGCTACACTTTTAAATCATAAACACGGCAAACTTGCAACATTGATTCCCGTGATAAATTTAATTACGAGTACGTGTTATTTTGCTGCGTTTACCACAACATAGGCATAACACAAATACATATCTGTTATTGTAGTGGCCTGGTAAGTGCATCAAATAAGCTGACAACCACAGCAAATTCGAACTGTGAACTCAACCTATTTTTCAACTGAATTTTTCTTGCGGAAATGGGTAAATTTTCTTTTTGAAAAGGTAAAACACTTAAGACTTAGGACATTCCATAATTTTAATTTAAAACAAGTTTCCGGTTTCTTCTAAGAAAAAATATTGAAAAGTAATTTGTGTCTAAACCGCACACTAATAAATATGGAATTTTTGTTTTAATGCAGATTCAGTATGGGAATACGATATGTAGAATACCCGAGGACTAGTATGAATAAGGCTGTTACAACAGGACAGGCTTTACTGGCCAATCACAAGAGAGACCCATATGTCAGGTATGATCCATCCAAGTCCTCCACGCTGACTGCGCCGCTCGTTACACACTGATTCGCAAACGTGTCTGTCTCTGGTTGGTTGCTTATCTTTCTCAGAGGCCATTCGAACACAAAGAGGTAGGTGACTGACTGAGGCCGACGAGGTATATTTAGTCTGCGCCCTCATACTTGGGTGCAGATAATCATTTCTATATGTGGCAGTCTGCATTTGAAAGAAACCGCCTGCAAAACCGATAGTTAACGAAGCATTCTTTGGAGCAGATTTCTTCGAATTTTGCGCAGACGCACTGTCACCTGCAAAATTCATAGCAAAATTAACGAAATTTTATGAGAAGAATAAATTGGAATGATAAATTTAGTCTTTCACTTTACAAACAAATGTTTAGCTTGGGAGGGCCACTTGAGTGCAAGTAATTTCGGGATGTCTTACGCAACAAATCGCATACCATGTTTGAGGAACTTGATCAAATTTGTGTCAAAGAATTTGAAGGATTGATAAAATACTTAAAGAGAAGCCAAAAATGGTTTGACGAGTCAATGTTTGTTTTATTTCATTTAAAAGTGGTTTAATAATTGTTTGCATAGTCTTGGCCAGATGTTGTTATTAGCAAATGGTCTCAAGTTCTTCCAAATTAATTTTTGAAAAGCAAACAGTTATTTGTATTCTGATCTCTTTAGTGAATTTACTACCGCAATGTCCACATTTTCAACATATGGTGTAATTAAGCATACCTCAGAGCACAAATCGATAATATGAGGGAAGTGTAGATGATATTAGCTTCATTGAGACTGCCATGTTAAAGTAACATAGATTGGATTCATTGAAAAACAGAACCAAGAAACAGCAGCACTACAAAGTGACCACAGCTACAGTGATTAACCTAAAAACCAGGTAGTAATCCGCCAGTACGATTAACGTCCTTCAGGTCCTATTTATGCCCAACGTATTAAATCAGTCGCGAGATCTACTCCTAAAGAGATATTCAATGCATTATGTCCATATTAGAGCTAACACAAGATTGATTGAATCCTACTGCTTCATTCGATATATTTTCTACTGAGTGATGTTAATATCTCCTACATGGGATAAATCACTGTGGAGACAACCAAGTCATTGACACCTCATTGAATACAACTTTCATGGCAGAGGTAAGAGTGATTACCAGTCGCGTGCTGCCACACCTACGAGCACCTACGCCTGTTTTAACCAGCTAAGGAGGAGCTGAGGGTGATTTGTAGTCCACAAGCTCATCCACCCAGCACCTGAACCTCAGTGTGTTAACTCGCGCAAATCAACTACTCCTACGATGGAGATCAGTGTCCAATTTCAGTACACGCCATCTGACAATGAACCCGCTCAAGTCAAATCAGACGATGAGGCAAACAACTTCATTGAGGGCGCATTGATCGACAAAATTGGCCGTTCGTGTGTACAGACTCGAGCAAGTTAAGTGACCAATGTCCAGAGTGATGTAACTGACCTCAAACTGCCATCACCCTCATTTATAATGCTTTAAATTTAAAAAAACCAAAATCATTTATTTTTCGGACAAAAGTTTATTGTGGCTTTACCTTATTAACATCAGTTTGGTTAATCCTGCTGTTAGTACCCCATGGCAACGGAATTGACTAGTGAAGCTACATTCTCATTTAACAACGACG